CAGCCGCTCGCAGCCACCTGGGCCGTGCCTGTCTCCGGCCCAGCGCCCCGAGATTTACGGCCGCAGTGACTTTCTCCAGGGCGCTCTCGCCATCTGCCCGCTGGCCTTTCGCGCTGCCCTCCTCACCTGTCGCCTCACGCAGCGGCCCCAGCGCCGCCGCCACCCTTTCCTTGCCGGCACCTCTCCCTGCGGCACCCAGCGAAACCACAGCCCCGTCATAGCACCGAGCCCGTTTAGAAGCTGTTCTTGTGGGCACACGTGTGTAAATTTGGACTTTTGGCCTTTTCTGTGTGTTTTGTTTTCTCCCATATCTGTTCCTTTGCATTTACAACCACCGAATTTCAGCTACCGGTCTCTTCCTCGATGACGAGTCAGCCCCGGGGCTTTGAGCCTTGCGTCACGTCCCGCTTTACAGTTGTGCCCTGATGACCCAATGAGCTTTAATCTGCTCTTCTGGCCTCCCTTCCCTCTTCCGTGCAAGCCGCTGGGCTCTGACGCCGCTCCCATCCCGGCCCTGGGTCGCTCCGTCGTGGTAGCCCCTGCACCCCTTCTGCTGTGTCAGCAGCTGCGCGCCGTGATTTAAGCGGGTGGTGGAACTTTCCACTGAGCTATAAACCCTTGTATTCGGTTTCCCGGGATCCTCCTGCCTGGGAAGCACGGCGGTGGCTGCAACAGTCCTGCGAGGAGCGCTCAGGAGAGCGCACAGGGGCGCCCCATGTCCGAGTGGGCTCGTGGGGCCGGTGAAACACGCGGCGACACTGGGCCTCATCGTGGGTCAAGGCTGCTCCTGGCTGCAGCGGGTGGGAAGTGGAGCGGTGTCACAAGTGTCCCAGCCCCGGGCTTCGGGGGGCCCCGAGCGCTGCGCGCTCTCGTCCGCCGCGGCACGGCTCGGTTGACCTTCAGCGTGCCGCTTGGCTCGCTTTTCCTCACTGGCCTTTCGAGGCAGGGAGAGCGCTGCTGGCCAGGCTCAGCGCAGTCATTAAAGCATTAATCCTTTTATAATCCCCAAATAGCTCATCCTTTGAAGGCCGTGCCGGGGACAGAGGCGAGGGTGATGGACCTCCCTCCCCGTGACCGCGCAGGGAGCTCTCCCAGCTGCCATCGGCCCCTGGAAGGGTTGCGTCCTCTCCAAAGCACCCCGAGAGCAGCTCTTTAAATGGCTCCCACGGCTTTTCCAGGGACAATCTCAGGCTTTGGATACCCTGCAGTCAGTCTAGGGAGCAGTGGCGAAGGTGGCTCTGTAACCTGAATTAGGCACCGGTCGTGCAGTGTGCCTTGTCCTTAACCACTTATCGTAACACTGTCCTTAGACAAGCTGGGCAACCTGAACAGTGCAAAATCCGCCTGGCGCAGGATATACGGTCCCAAATGTTTTAAGAGACATGGGTGAAGAAGTGAAGGGGGAAAAAAAGTCATGCTACATCTACTTAGGGCAGGAATAGGTGTGAGAGCAGCCCTCTCGCACAGAGACACATCCCTCTCAGAAACTCGGCCTTCCCACGCTCCCGGGACATCACATCGCTCCTGCTCCTGCCCACTTTGCTGCTGCGTTGGCACGCGCTGTTCCCTAGGCAGAAGCCACCAGCTAGTCCATGCACCAAGAGCCCTTCTCGGCTCACGCGCCCATCCTTGGAAGCCGTAAGAGACCGGACGGTGACTGCAGCGGGAGCACCGCGAGGCACCCGCTCCGGGCACGGCCTTGGGTTGCCATGGAGAAGCCCAACGGGTGTCTCCAACTTCTCAGCGACCTGGCAGGATGCCGGGGCATCCCGAGCTGCAGCCACGAAAGACTTCTCTGCAGGAGAGGCCGAGGGCTCACCTGTGGAGCTGGGCTCGCCGTCTCCTCCCGTTGCTGGTGCTACATCCACGTGAGCTGTTGGAAACACAAGCAAATATTAGTGTTACGACACAGCGCTGCAGGCCTGGCAAGATGCACAGCGCTTTATTCCGCGAAGGAGAACACTGTTCTGATAAGGAAGTGGAGAAATAAGGGGGAATAAAGCACGATCAGCGCCAGCATATTGGCCTAGGTATCGGAGCCGGGCCCAAGCGGCGCAGAAAGCCGGAGAGGGTCCCTCAGGATGGCTCCTGAGCAGGCTCAGGTAATGAATTTTCAATTCTGTGCTTTCATTAGCATTGTTCTTAGCCGGGGATTTAGCATTTGTCCCCCTCAGCTCTGCGGCACATTATTCGTGTCATTGAGACGTTTGCAAGGACAGTGCTTGTGTTCGGCGTTTCCATCGGAAACGAGATGGGCTCGATGCTGGCGGGCTCCGCCGGCGCACCGGAGGCAGCGCTGCGCACGGGCTGTTACCCCAGCAGCGCTCTCCTGCTTTGCCTGCTCGCTCCAGCACCGTTTCCGAACCAGATGCATCCAATGAATTTTTTCACCGTTCATGCTATTAATGA